AATGAGTGCAGCGGTTGGGTAGTAAATGGAATGCTTGAAAGTGTTGCATGTGATTGATAATACTTGAGTAGAATATGTTAGAATATATGTGAGTGTGCAAGGTGAGCCTCTGTATTGTTTGTGGGATGAATAGTGTATAGAATACTCATCCTTACATTTGCTTTTCAGGTAACCAAAACGATCAGTACCGGGCTAAGTGAAGGAATGGATGATACTGTTATATGACTTATATTTTATTTTGAAAATATGATGTATTTGGAGTAGTTCTGTAGTAGTTACTTGATCAAAATTTGTAAACCCTTATTATTTTGAAATACTTTGATGAAACTGTGTGTTGAAAAATTATATTTAAATGAAAATTTTTATTATTCCCATTTTACAAAATTTATTATTTTGAAATTAAATCAAGGTTTTACACAAATGAGTTTATGAAGTCTAAGACAAAATCTGATGGGTCAATTGATTGATTAAAGACCCGGTTAGTTGCCAAGGGTTATACCCAACAAGCAGGCATTGATTTCATTAAAGCATTTTCTCTAGTAGCCAAGCTGACCACTGTAAGGGCTCTTCTTTCCTTAGCAGTTGTCAAGGACTGGAAGTTGGTACAACTTGACATAAGCAATGCTTTTTTGAATGGTGATCTCTTTGAAGAAATATACATGAACTTACCACTTGGTTATAAAGTTAATAGGGAGAACCATGTGTGTAAACTTCATAAGTCCATTTATGGACTAAGACAAGCATCTCGACAATGGTTCAATAAATTCTCTTCTGCACTCATTTCAACTGGTTTTAAGCAATCTCAAAATGATTATTCACTTTTTATTTATGCCTCTCAAAGTTCCTTTGTTGCTTTATTAGTTTATGTGGATGATATCATAATTGCCAGCCCAAATCAAGTTATGATTCACCAAGTGACAAACAAATTGTAGTAACTATTCAAACTCAAGGTCCTTGGTGATCTTAGATATTTTTTGGGCCTTGAGCTAGCTCCTTTTTTACAGGGCATTTACCTTTATCAACGAAAATACACTCTATCGTTATTGGAAGACATAAATTTTTTTGCAATGCAAACCTACATCTTTACCTATAGAACCCAACCTCAAACTTAGTTCCGTAGAGGGTGATTTACTAGAAAATCTTGGCCAATATCACAAACTAATAAGGAGATTGTATTATCTCACTATTTCTAGGCCAGACATTTGTTTTGCTATGAATAAGCTAAACCATTTATGTCTTCTGCTAGACAACTACATCCTGATGCAGTTCATCACTTGTTGAGATATCTTAAATCCAATTTGGTTCAAGAACTTTTATTTTTCTCTACTTTTTTACTTCGTTTGAAGGCTTTTGCACATACTGACTAGGCTAGTTGTCCTGATAGTCACAGGTCAATTAGTGGCTACTGTATATTTTTTGGAGATTCTTTGGTTTCATGAAAATCAAAGAAGCAAGAAGTTATTTCCAGATCTTCTTTTTGAGGCAAAATATTGCTCCTTAGTTGTTGCTACTAGTGAAATCACTTGGTTGACCTCTTTGTTCAAAGATTTTGAGATTGATACAGGTCCTACATTTCTATTGTGACAACCAGTCAGCAATATATAGTGCATTCAATCTCACATTCCATAAGAGAACTAAATATATTAATGTTGCCTTGCTTTTGGTTCGTAAAAAGGTTGCCATTGGAGATATTAGATTAATTCATGTCAAATCTGCTTATCAATTAACTAATTTACTCACCAAACCTGTTACTTTATCCATTTTTCAAGAATTACTATCCAAGATGGGCATAAAAGATATTTATCCTTCGTGAGAGAGAATTTTATCATGTATAGTTAAAAAATATAACTAATTCAATTAGTTATTATCTGTATACATATGATTAGCTCATTTCTTATAAAAGATCAATTTTGATACATTTTCAATAATATTTATTTTTCTCTCTCGGTTCTAATAACAACAAAGATAGTGACATGCAGTGCTAAAATTTTAACTTTTAACAGTTTTTAATTTTATCAAGGAGCCATTACATAAGCTTCGCTTGCAAAAATGAAGGCATGTACATAGATGCAAAGGGATCTGAAAAAGGTTAGAAATATTGGCAGAACAGGCTGTATAACTTGACCGAACCAACAGGTAGCTTTTGTTCTAGAAATTATTCTGGTCAATAGTTTTCATTGTTTAATGGCCGAATCTTCTTTCGGGGAAGATCACGTTTTTCTCCAATTTTATTGCTTCTGCGGCTTCCACATAATTACAGGCAGCAGCATTTGATCATAGGGTTTTAGGTCAAACACACCTCAACCACGTGGTTGTAAATTGTCCATTCCTCAATACGAATATCTCTTCTTCCTAAAGCTCTTCGTTGGATGCACACTTTGCTACGCACGTTCCATCGTTTTCTCTTCATGGATTATTGAACGAAGTTACTTACGTGTACAATATACATACACGCACCTTTTTTATCATTTAATTTTAAATGAGTTTAGCAATATTTATGTAATACACCTTCTGTTTCTTTATATATATATATATATATATATATATATATATATATATATATCAATACTGAATTTTTTAGAGTTTTAAGACACACATTTTGTATATCACAGTAAGATTAAATTAAAAATATAAAACTAGTTGAGGTATATATTTTTTAAATTAATAAAAACAATTATTATTATACAAAAACCAATAAAATATAAGATAAAAATATATTATAATAAACATATATATATATATATATATATATAATTAAAGTGTAATATAAAAGTCTTACTAATTATAACATAATTAATAAAAAAAATTTATAATGATTAGTCATCTTAAAATGAATATTTCATACCGTATTTTAAATGAAATGTTATACTCAAATCTTTAAACTCTTGTTGTAAATAAAGTTTAATTAATTTTTATTTTATTATAAATAAAATTTATTATTAAATTTATATCATACATCAAATATATAATTAGATAAAAATGTGTATTTTTTAATATTTGCTAAGTTTTTAACTTATGCATCAAATGCACACAATAAAAAAAATTGATTAGATTTTTTCAAAATATTAAATCGATAATTTTTTAATGAATTAAAAATTAATCCTTGCTCTTTACATCTCTATGTGCGTAGTCAAAATTATTTTTTCTTATATTTTCATCTAATTATATTTTACAATGTAATACTCAAATACTTTTTAATTTAAATAATATATGAATGATTTTATTTCATAATTTATTCTAATTAATATGTTATAGATAATTACATTAAAACATTCATATTTAATTAAGCAAACTTTAGAACTTATAAATATATCATTTGACTAGGTTATGATTTTCAATTTTTTTTATTTTATATAAATATGTTTTGAAAAATACTTTAACCTTAATTCAATATTTTAGATTCCTAAAAAATAAGATGGATGATAGTAAAATCTATAAATATTTTGTCAAACTCAGAAAATTATATGATAATTTTTAAATATTTTCAAATTTCACATATGCATGTACTTTTGTTATTTTATTTAATACATTTTTAGAAATTTTATAAAAAATATAAAAACATATCTAATTTATGTATTAACAAGAAATGACAAATTAAATACGTTGTTGAATTCTGAAATTGTTTATAAATTATTTAAATATAAATTTATATTTATTATACAAATAAAGATGTAATTATCAATGATAATTTTTTTGAAACATATATTATTTGAATTTTATTTTAAATATTTTAACAGTGTAATGTTTTTACTCTATGACTTAATAATAAATTGTCATATCAATAATAATTGTTAATTTTTTATAATTATTAATATAAAAATCATATCTTCAATATATTGACAATATCAAATTCTTTACACTTATTACATTGATAATGTACCAAAATTAAACTAATACAATTTGTAGAGTAGAAAAAGACAGAAAAATGAAAAAAATGAATTTAATAAGTAATATGATGGAAATAAAGAAATAGATAAAAGTTCACAAATCTTTTAAAATAATAAATATAATTAATAATAAATCTAACAATATTATAATTAAAAATTATATTAATTATTGTTAAGTAATAAAAATCAAAATTTATATGGAAAAAAAATTAAAATATACATATAATAATACCTACATGGTAAGTTTTTATTTCCTCCTTGAAAGTCAAATAAGCTTACTAGGACTGGTTTATTTGTTTATTTCAATTTATCATATGGTCGAGAAATAATATGAAAATTGATAACCATCCCACAGATTTTATTGATACTTTTAATAAATGTAAAATATATATATAGAAAAAAATATATAATACGTTTGATTTCTTTTTTTTAAAAAAATTTATATATATATTTTTAAATGTAGTGTAACCCTTATTGCTTTAGGCTCGACCGTGTTTGGAGAATATTGTTTTTACTTTATCTTTCATTTATTCTTATATTATAAATATAAATTTTTATTTTTAAATATAAAGTTACCCTCTTCTTTATTTTTTATTTTTCTTGCCATATATGGCTTTATCATTATTTAATATTTATTTTGGAATTTCAAATTATTAATTTATTTTCTCTATTCTTAATTTTCTTAAACTAATTACTTTAATTTTTTAAAAACTTTTATGGGTATTATTATTATGTTATTTTATTGAAAATTGTGAGGTTTTAGGCGGCCCCTGGATCTCAGGGGCACGCTGCTCCAACAAACGAAGTGGCCCCACCAATACGACGTGTCAAGTCCTTCAAAAAGGAAAAAGTTAAATAAGAAAAGAAAAACAGTGTAAAGACTCGGAGTGTGCGCTAAACTTGGCCGCCAAGTCAAAAAAGGGCAAATCTGCCAAATCTGCGCATAAACGTATGGAACAGTCATGACACCGCCTTCTTAGCCCTAACGCATTCCCATTTTCTTGTGTTTTCCGTTCTCTCTCTTTTCTCTTCCCAGAATTTTGGACACACCTTCGCTGCCGAAGCCTTGATTTACAAATAATAAACCCAAAAAGAAAAGAAAAGAAAAGAAAAATGCCGAGTTTCACCTCCTTCTTCCATCGTCTTTCTGGATTTGTCCGTGACAATCAGTCGCATGTCAAGCTTGTACTGCTCTGCACCACCATAAGGTATACCATTCTATCGTTAACTTCATTCGTCTTCTAAGTTATCTGTTGCGGTGAGGTTCGTGCTTGCTTCATCCTATTTCACAGTTTTTCTAGCATAAAAAGTTAGATCCGTGCATTGCAATCGGTATGAAACTTCCATGCTATATTTATTTAGGAATATCTTTTTCGATGTTGAAGTTTCAAAAATATGTTGTGTTTACATTTACTACTCGAATCCTCTGCTTTAACCCAAACTCTGTTTTTACTCTATCGATTTTGCGGCTATTCGTTTTTAATTAAAATGTAAATAAAATTTGAACACATTGCGTGGATGCTGTAGATCTATCATCAATGATTAATTTGTAGGTTGATATGAATGGTTGATGCAGTGGTTGCGGTGTTTTGGCTTATGGTGAGGCTGTTGCACCCGAGGCGGCGGTTACAGAGAAGAAAAAGGTGGTGGTTTTGGGAACTGGTTGGGCGGCCACAAGTTTCTTGAAGAATCTGAACAATTCGAAATATGAGGTTCAAGTAGTTTCGCCTCGTAACTATTTTGCATTCACTCCTTTGCTGCCTAGCGTCACGTGCGGCACCGTCGAAGCACGCAGCATTGTTGAACCGGTTCGCAATATCGTTCGGAAGGTGATGATTTAAGTCCCAGATAATTTCTTGCTGTATCATCGTGAAAAACTTTTTTACTGACGACGATAAAAATTTTAGTAGAAGTGTGAGCTCTTTCTAAAAATTGCATGATAATCGGGATTATGCATATATATTTGTTATTATATGTATGCTATATAAATATAGACAATGGAGATGTGTAAATTTTATAATATAAAATGCAGATAAAATGCCAAATTATATATATAATTTTTTAAAAATTAAAATAATAACAATTATAAATAAAATAAATATCTTAAAAAAATTATAAACATCCTTCAAAATCTTGCAAAATATTTAAAATTAATTAACCATTATAGTAAATTTTCAAGTCATTAATTGTCCATTTTGTTTTAATTTTAGCTGTAAAGCATAGTCAACTTTAAAAAAAGGATTCCGACTAAACCAAATATATTAGAAAATACGGTCTCTATTTTTATTAAATTTATTTTTTTATTAATTATTGAATAAAACATTAGAAAAAAATATTTAATCTGAACAATTAAAACATTAAAAAAATAAATATTAACAATTAAAATTAAGTAAACTGAAATTAGACACAGATTTAAACATAGAAATAAAAATGCAATCAAACCAAAAAATCTTTGTACTAATTTCCATTTAATGTGGAATAAGCGGTAACAATTTTTATATTTACAATAATCAATTCAAGCCGGATAATCCATCTATAAGGTAATTTACAATAACTAATCACTGTCAGCAGTTAATTATAAGCTCTGCTTGACCAACTTTTACGCTTGGATTCCATTTTATGCATCAGTGACATAGGTCAAACGATAAAAAATTATAATCCTTTTATTCAACGAGTTACAAAATATAATTTTTTAGTAAATGGTTATATTGTTACTAATGTAATGAATTCTTCTTTCTAACGTTTTTTTTCTTCGATATTTTTCCTTTAACCCATACACCTTGTTATAAGATAGAGAAATCACTATTAATATGCTAATACTATTATTAATAATGAGTAATTAACACTATATATATTCACTTTTAAAAAATTAATGCTATATATATACTACCGAGTATTCTATAGATCGAGACATTAGATTTTAAATATTATATTATTAGTACATATTTTTCATTACTGTAAAACTTAAATATAAAAGAAATTTTATACATTTAATACACAAATGTTCTTTTATTCAAAAAATTCTTCAAGCATTTGTTTCTTCTTTAAAAAAAGTGGTTTCTAAGTTAACTACATTTTAATTGAATTTTTTTCGCACATATTTTCTGCGATATACTTAGGTTTACTCTTAAGAGTCATGTTGGGATGCATGATTTGATGTGAAGTTTGCCTTCACTGTTATACAGATGATACCATATTTCTCTTCGCACAATAATTGGTTTATGTTAAGTGCACCAACAAGATTGTAGGTCATCGGAAACGCATAGGCAATGTTGGTTTTCCACCAATTACTATTAGGAGATATTACCAGTGAAGTAATTTTCTTTATGCCATGTTTTTCACTAGCTTTATAGAAGAATCTGGTGGCTTTGGCAATAATTTGGCTCTTTTTCTTGTTTTCCTATGATTAGAAAACGGTGGACATACAATTCAATGAAGCAGAATGTGTCAAAATTGATGCAGAAAATAGGAAAGTTTACTGCCGATCTAATGCGAGCAATAATTTGAATGGGAGAGAAGAATTTGTCGTGGACTATGATTACCTAATCATTGCCGTGGGCGCCAATGTCAACACTTTTAATACTCCAGGAGTGGTGGAGAATTGTCATTTTTTGAAGGTATGTCCTTTCTTTTATCATATGCTACGGCGTACAACATTTAAGTAAAGCTTCGTTTAGTTAAGTAAACATGGACAGGGGAAGGGGTCAATTCCGTTATTTATGGTGGCTAAGGTGTTCACTGTATTTTTTTATACTTGTTCGCCTGCTTTTGGATTTTAATTCTCTCATGGTTATGCTTGTGCAGGAAGTTGAAGATGCTCAGAAGATTAGAAGAACAGTTATTGACTGCTTCGAGAGAGCAAATTTGCCCGATGTAAGTGAAGAAGAGAAGAAGAGAATTCTTCATTTTGCTATTGTTGGGGGTGGTCCTACTGGAGTGGAGTTCGCAGCCTCGCTTCATGATTTTGTCAAAGACGATTTGGTTCGCTTATATCCTGGGATAAAAGATTTAGTTAAAATTACACTTCTGGAGGCGGGAGATCATATCTTGGGCATGTAAGGATGTGATATTTACTATAATTGTTTCTTATTAGTATTAACATCTTCAGTGTTACCTGGTCTGGTCATGTAGTTTGCTATATTTGTGAGTACGCATTCTAAAAATGTTTATTCAGTGTTAATTATTGAATGGTTATTTAATGACACTTGATCTTTCACCCTAGAAAAGATTAAGGGTCCATGTTCCTGACCCTGTACTACCAAAAATTCAAGCAAGTTGGTGGCTGATAAAGTGTTAGATTTAACTAAATTTATGATTAAAAGAACTATTAATAATTGAATCTTTTATTATTGATTTTGTCACACTTCATGATGTTCTTATAGGTTTGACAAAAGAATCACTGCTTTTGCTGAAGACAAGTTTCGAAGAGATGGAATTGATGTGAAAACAGGATCCATGGTGGTTAAGGTATCTGATAAAGAAATTTCCACTAAAGAACTGAAAAATGGAGGAGAGATTACTACGATTCCGTATGGAATGGCTGTCTGGTCAACTGGTATTGGCACTCGTCCATTTATTAAAGATTTTATGACACAAATTGGTCAGGTATATTATTGAGAGATTAGACAATGTTTCTGTGCCGATTCATAATTCTTTATCGTGTTTCTTATGCATTTCGTATCTATCTTTCAAAAAAGAAAATTCAGAGTCATTTCTCATTCGCTCAGCAATCATCTCTTCTGAACAGGCTAGCAGGCGTGCTCTAGCTACTGACGAATGGTTGAGAGTTGAGGGGTGCAACAATGTGTATGCACTTGGTGATTGTGCTACGATAAACCAGCGAAAAGTCATGGTACCTCATACAAATATTTCTTTCATACATTTAATGAACTTATTTCCTAGTGTCCTCGCACACGCCAGCACGTGACATTCTTATCAATTAACTAATTAGTATCAGTAACGTAATTTTTCGTCTGGCTTTTACTTGTGCAATTTTGTTCTGCTTTCCGTTAAAGGCATATATTTTACCTTTGATGAAATAGAAAAATATGCCTTTTCCTTAGCCATTAAACAAATTGCACGTGTTTAATTGACAATTATTCATTTCAATTCTGATGTCATCTCTTTCTTCCTGAAAATTTTGAATTGATTTTGGCCTTTTCAGGAAGATATTGCGGCGATCTTTAAAAAGGCTGATAAAGTAAATTCTGGAACACTTACTGTGAAAGAATTTCAAGAGGTCATGGAAGATACCTGTGAAAGATACCCTCAAGTTGAGCTATATCTGAAGAATAAACAGATGCGCAACATCGCTGATTTATTGAAGGGAGCCATCATAGATGACAAAAAAGAGTCAATTGAACTCAATATCGAAGAGCTCAAAACAGCACTTTCCAAAGTGGATTCTCAGATGAAGTTTCTTCCTGCGACAGCGCAGGTTCTTGTCAAATTATTTGCTTCTGGAATTCTCAACGGTATTTATTAGATGTAAGTTTCTCAGTGATATTACATTGAATTTCTGAAAATTCATATCAGGTTGCATCTCAGCAAGGCACTTACCTGGCTAAGTGTTTTAACCGGATGGAAGACTGTGAAAAAAATCCAGAGGGTCCTCTCAGGTTCAGGGGAGAAGGTCGCCATCGGTTCAAACCCTTTAGGTACGATACATGATCAAACTAACGCAGACGCTCTCCCTTTTACCTAATTATTATGCTTACAGTTATACAGATTTCAAGGTTTTTCTTTTGTTGACCGACGTTTTTACTCATTAGCACATGTTTGATTGATCCCCAAGGTACAAGCATTTAGGTCAATTCGCTCCTTTGGGAGGAGAGCAGACAGCTGCCCAGCTTCCTGGGGATTGGGTTTCAATTGGCCACAGCAGTCAATGGCTGTGGTATTCTGTCTATGCAAGGTACTGTGTTTATCTTCGCGTTTTTTTTATATATTCACAAAAGCACCTTAATTTTGTGACATTATCAATGCTTTTAACAGCAAGCAAGTAAGCTGGCGTACAAAGGCGTTAGTAGTTACAGACTGGACAAGACGCTTTATTTTTGGAAGGGACTCAAGTCGCATCTGAAAGGAATTTAACATCTTTAGCAAAGGTGGTTAATCATGAATTCATACAGGAAAAAATTGGTTTCCATTATACTGATTCTCTGAATAAGGACGCAAGCAGACTCCTAGTCGGTCTCCCACAGCATAGAGTTGTTATTTGGTCTCCGAGTTTTGCTGATTAATTTTGTTTCGGAGATGCTAGCTGAGGTTCATCTCATACACAATTATTCATGATATAATTTTGTCATTTGTTTTTATTCTATTTTTCCAATCTGTTCCGGGAAATAACTGCTACTGAGTCGACTACTTTAAAATTAGAAGACGTTATATACTTATTTTATTAAGTTTAGAATTTTACTTGGATAACATGTGTTCACTTTTAATATGATTTTTATTTCATAGATTATTAAGTTAAAATTCTAATCTTGATTTGAAAATAACACAATTATTAATTTATTTATTTTGGTGTGTTTGTAAACTTGTCATTAAACAAAATTGATTTTGCAGAATTGATTTTATTTAAGTTTAAAATGATTTGATTTGTTTTATTTTTTTTATTAAAAGTAAATTTTTTTTAATCCAACACAAGTTATAATTTATCATGTTGACTCAAACACATTTAAAAACAAAATTAATTATATTTTAGAATTGTCAAAGATGTTGACAAATTTCAAAACACATTTACATTTTCAAACTTTAGTTTAATAATTTCTAACTCACGTTCAAACATGCACTTGGTTAATAAATTGAAAGAAACGGGTTCCCAAAAAAATGGTGCAACAAAAATATGTAAACAAAGGATGTATTGCACATATATAACTATCGAGTATTTTCCCAAAATTTTGTTAGTGGTCCAATATAACTTAGGAGGCCTTGTTATGTAAAGAAACTTAGTAAAAGTAAAAAGCCGGGATAAAATGCCATTGCAGATAACAAACAGAATGAATGTACAGCCTTTAGGGTTAAAGATGGCAAGTCGTCTTTTAAGAGTTTCAGTAACAAGATACAAGAGACAGGTTGGTTTAAACTATTTTGGGTGAAGAAGAAGAGGTATCGGAATTTCTTAAAAAAACAAAAAAAGAATAAGAAGCTTTTTTGTTTTTGTAAATGCTTACGGCATGCGGATTTTCATATTTGAGTGTCCAAGATAAGAGCAACTTCAATCGAAAGCATGTTTTAATTTAGATGTCATGAGATCTATTTTCTACTTTATAATAACCACTTTAAAGTCTCCTTACGATAAGGTCTAAAATACTTTTGAGAGCATTAGATGCTGCATTTTGGTGAAATTTCGACATCATTCTGTTGCCTAGACCACTTATAAGTTGGAAATAATTGGTCGCGAACAGCTTAGCTTGTCTTATGTGATAAACCACACAGCACAAGTCATTCGCGGCGTTTGGAAATTGAACATTATGCAGTGCACCGAGCACCATTCCCACTTTTGCTTGCAATTCTCCTGCGATTCCAAGTGTTTCTTCGAAGGGCATTGATTTCTTGATAGGTACAAGGAAATGGACTTGAACGATCAACAACTGTCATATTAGCCATCCAATAAAGCTTCCCATTGCAGCAATAAGGGGAGTCTTATTAGAAGGATCACGATATTTATAAATGAGATTTGTTCTTGTCTATAGATAGTTCGTGTGAAAATATTAATATTTAAATATATTATATTAAACTATTTACAAAAGTTAAAGGATTTTTTATATTTATAACTACATTCTTGTACAACTCAATAAAATATTAAAATGTGGACATCATTAAGTCAAGTTTGATTTAGATTTGAGTTTGTGTTTTCGTGATATACAAATCCTCGACTGTGATCAAAATTGGCGTTCCCAGCTCTAGGAAACGAAGCAGCCCAATGCTTGATATAGTAGGGACTGGTGTGTTGAAGGAAATTTGTTCGTGCAAAGTTTGCAGACTATCGTTATTCTTATTTCTCAGTAGCCTTATCTAGATTTTCTGTGCTGGCAACATTTGGAACCCCCCACATATTTTGCCTTTCATGACTTAATTCTCTTGATGTTTGTTTTATACACTAATCCCAAGTCCAATACTTTGGTTTTATATGCTTTAAATGCTTCTATATTAATGGTCACGCCACATTTGCAAGGAAGGTGTAAAAAGAGAGTGGAATTCTGCATTCTGCAATGTGACAGTCAAGTACAAACAATAGTCCAGTTCACCATGCCATAAATTTGCATTTCTAAGACCAGCTGGACCCTGAAGAGAAGAACAGAATCCATTGTTAGATGTAAAGTGGAAACTAGTTGGGCTCCTGAGCTATCATTGTCAACAACATCTTTATGCATCGATACAATTCCATCTGAGCACAATCCTCATTAGGCACATTGCTGCATTCTGATTGGTAATTGGTACTCTCGAGTATCTCTACCCTTTGATGCATTCTTAGAGCATTATTTTGCCGATTTAAATATCTACCCAGGAAAAAGTAGCTTCCTTTCTTATTGGCTGCAAAGCGTAAATCTGCTATATATTGATGATAGAAATAAATAGAAATTAATAAAATTGTTGCATGATTATGTAAATTGTGATAGCAATTTTATTCATATGCAGATCAAATTTTGTGTTGTGAACTTGTAATCATTAAAATACGTGCTATTAACCACATTGTCTAACAGCAGATTAAAACACCCGAATAATTGTTTTGAACATATGGTGTGCTATCAAAACTGATTTTTTTTAACCATAGATATCTTCTTGGTAAGTTATAAACTTTTCCTTTTAAGTATTTAATAATATTTGAACTCAAAATTACAAGTTAAGTCCGTATAACTCTGACTAATTAATCTATGTATTAAGACTAATTTTAAATATATAAAAAATGATATTATTAAAAAAAAATCTCATTATAATTTTATACTTTTTAAAATTTACCTGCGTAATTCTATATTTGATTATTACATTGCTTCATTAGAGACAATTATCTATCTTCCTACTTAGAAAGAATAAAAAAGCTGTACCCATAAAACTATGAACGTCTTCAACTCGCCAAATTCTCAAACATTTTAATTAAACGTTCTAATTTTTAAACAAACAATTTCTAGTTGGCTTGTAGGCTGTAGGAGCAACTGGCAGGAAACACATACTTTTAATCAAATAATCGACATCCAAGCATGTAATTAGTTCCTTGCTTAACAAGTTAACATTAATATGCAGTACCTTATTGCCAGCGACATCTACCTTTTCAAAAATTATTAGGCTGCGTGGTCGCTGAGGATTATCTCTTTAGTTCGTAAATTGCCTTTACTAAAGTAATGCCAGGCTGGTTCCTTTTCAATTAAATGCCCTTTTTAAAAACACAAAAAAAAATTGTTTAGAAAAGCACTACTTTGAAAAGATGGAGGACGACCATGACTTGTCTAAGCTAAGCAAACCAAACGGATCGGGATTCCCTCATGTTTCAGCCCTTTTCGCTTAAGTGAAATTGTCAAAATACACTGACATGACCTTCATGTCACATGAAAGAATCCTTTCTCCAAACCAAACACACTCGTTCCCTGAAAAAAATAAAATAAAATAAAATAACTCGTTTTGGTCAACCTTAAAAGAAAAGTTTTTTATATTCTAACCTTAATACCAAATTAATATTCTAACCTAATCCAGTGATGGTAACCCTCTTCAAGCTCAGTAGTAACGCAAGTCTTTGATTACAGTTACGATGTCATAGTTTCTGATCATGAAACAATTCAAACATTATGTATGGGTTGGTTGGTCCCCTGCTCACTGTTTTAATCAACCATTTTTCACAGAATGATTGGGGGATTCAATAAACGGGTACCATTATTCTATCAGTTCACTTCACAAATTCGTTTTCTTACTCAAGTTTAAAGTAATATATAATAATTTCATTAACTTGATGCCGATGTTAAAATTAAAAATGGCTGCTATCTGATACATGTTTAGCATTTGATCATCAAGCAAATAATTATATATCATATAAACAGGGCACTACCCCTCCCCATATAAAAGACACTATTCAGTGCATATGACAGGCAGTCAAAGTTTTGACAAGCCGTCCTATTCAAATTTATAGACAATAATAACCGTACAGGCTTTGGATTATGAAGGACCCACATTTGATCTCCCATAGGCACATCATTTTCTCACCGTATAAGTTGTAATATCAAGCACTGCTCCTAGTCCATATCCATTATCTTAAGATATATAGTAAAGTGGGAATGGGTTTGATGCATATGGCTACACTTACTGTTGTTCTACTCATGTTTTCAGTATTTTTCAGCTTTTAATGGTTGAACATCAAGCTTCATACATATTATATGTGCCAAAAACATGGCTAGTAATAAATGAATAAGGATATTAAAAAAAAAACAGAAAAAATAATACCTTAGATGTTCTAGCACCTATAATTAGGACATGACAATTGACAACCTGTTGGTAATTTAAATTTGAAAATGTATTATGGTGATTTTGAGAGTTGGAGTGTATGGTTTTTCTAGTTGAAATTTTGGGTGTTATTTAATGGCTATTGGTTGATTTAAAAGTGATTAGAACACAGAAGTAATGCCCGACAGCTGATACTTTTCGGGGTCGGTTTCATATCCACCTTTTTTGGTTCTTAGGTTTCGTCCATTGCATGGGTCCAAAAGACGTAGGAATTGATTGCTATTTTACCCCTTTAATACATCACACGAGGTTGATAACCTGAAGATTCTCAAATCTTAACTTGTTTCTTTTGTTCAACATAAATACTACTAATTACAGGTTTAAGTAGTTTAAAAGAAGTCAAAATTTTGTGTGTCATATTGTGTGTGCATTAATTATCAATCTTTGTGCATCATATTTAGTGTTTGACGTTTTCTTAATTCAAGTCATATTTGATTGGTTGAACCTGAGAACAAAATTCATTGTAATAATAATTGACCTATTTCTATATAGCCATATTCTATGATAGCAAAGAGGAATGATTGCGTTACATATTATACAGAATGAACACTAGATCCATATAACGATGTCAATACGATCTCCAATAGTATTGTTATTTCCCTAGTTGTTATATTGGTTGGGAGCATCTTGCCCCTCCATTGAGTTAATGAACACTAGAGATTGTTTTATTTCTA